AAGAATAAAAAGGCAGTAAACAAAAGAGTTAAGATTATATATATATATATTGTTTTATATCTTTGTTACTTGGCTTTTGGTACCATTTGATGGTGTATCCGTTTTTCTATATTCCATATGTGGCCATTCAAAGGCGGAATCCAGTCTTCGATTTATACCGGTGCTCCGTCGAGTTACCAATGGTTAACGAGATTAAGAGAGATGTGATATATAAAAAGTGATTGTGGAGAAACTTCCCACTTTAAAATACTTATATTTTATTGATACGTTGTGACTTTTTTCTCAAATTCTTGTGTACATATGGAAGTAAAATCTGTTGTGGGTTTTTCTTCAGATCAATTAATTTGTTTGAAATCTACAACCTTACAGACATATATCCTTTCACTGACAAGCTAACACGAGGTTGATAAATAAACTTTATTCCGCTAGCGTTTCGACGTCTTCGTCCTTTTCAGAGCCGATGGTCCGAGTCGGTGGTCCGCAGTCCCTCGTACTCTCGATGTGATGTCTTCGTCGTTGCATCCAGTCGGACCTTCCTCAGTAGAACACCGCTCCAACAAGGCGACCTCACGCGATAGTACTCATTTATACAGGACAGTGCAGTCCTACACAGTTAGCTCGACGTCTTACCCCTCAAGGATCTACCCAGGTAGAGGCACGCTGCAAAGTTTGAAGATATACTATTCAACTGCGAAGATGGTGGAGAATCATTAAAGAAAGACATGCTAAAGTTAACCCAAAAACAATCGAAAGTTGTCGAAAAACTGGTATCTCTAACTGATACTCGAAGAAGCGAAAAAAGTAAAGTCGACAAGCAGGAAACGCAATGAACTCTCTGTTCAACACTCACAAAGTGTGCTAAAGAAGAAGCTTAAATGGCGTGACTGGAAGGTGCGGTCCACTTCCCTGAAAGTTAGATGTATAATCGTAGTTTGGATGATTACCCAGCCACAAGTTTTGACTTAGAACTCTGGTTTTTTGGGTGATTGCTGATGGAGCTGCTCAATAGAACTAGCTGAGAGACAGGCGAAACGAAGGACCCGCATGATGTGGTGGTGAACGCGTTACTCCTCGGAAAGGAAAATAGCGCGTTCGTTCCCCACTGTAGACACCTGCGGTCCGGAGTTTTGCCAATATCTCAGCATTATCCTAGTTGTATTTCACATGTTACCCTGCCGTTAAAAATTATAGTAGGCAGTAAATAGAAAGGTTAAGATTAGAACTCTGGGATGTTTCTCTCTGAGTTTAGTTGAAGAAGGAGTCAGGGGTGGATAGCACAGTGGTAATGGTGTTCGTCATCACGAGCATGGTGCTAGTTCGATTCCGCTTTAGGCCAACCAGGACTGGGACCGGACTTCTCTGGAAAAAATCATCTTCTGCAATCCAATTGGGAGCTCTCCAGCCAGGCTATCTTAGGACTACAGGGAGAATTACTCGACCAGCATTCTACGACATTCAAGAAGAAATGGAAGTCCTCAAGCAGCAACCGAAACCACACGTAAGAGTTTGAAGATCTTCGAGGGCAGTGGATGCAAGGAAACGAATCGAATGTAACAAATGCTGGCATCCACACAGTAGACGGGAAGATGGGTCACATAAAGTAAAACAAAATAAAAAAGGAAGAGTCAACCCTATAAAATTGAAGACTTTGGAGCAACTTGGACGATTAATACGAGAGTCAGTGTTGTCCATCCCAAAAGAATTCCTGGTGAAATCAGTTGATGTGGTTCTCAGTTGATTTGGAAACCTGATGGTGAATGCTGGCGTCCGTGTCGAATTTTAAAGAGCTCCGTCCTATGAGCTTTCTTCTCATATTCAATGCCTGTCAGAAATTATGGTTAAGGAAGAGATTATAGGAATTCTAAAATTGGTGGTTACTATGTTACCTTTCTATTTGCTGCCTATTACAATTTTAACGGCAGGGTATTATGTGTGATACAACCACAATGATGCTGAAATATTTGCAGAACTCAGGACCGAAGGTGTCTGCAGTGGGTATTAAGCTCTCCATCACTCCGGGCGGGCAAATCGGTACCAGACTTGTGACGGTTGTCGCCTTCGTTACGAATGCCCTTAAACGCCGGTCGAGTCGTCGATTCTCAGCGAAATCCTGGGGCAGTCGTACTAGCGCGTCCGTAAGTAAATTAGAGGGAGGGAAACGATCCCAAACGGGTTTCATACCAATTACCCGACCTTAGAGCGATTAGATGCTTGGTGAGGCCGAGGCGAGGTCGAATCAGCACCGTTCTAATGACGAACGACATGACCACTAGTGAGCTACCTGCTCCCTACGGCTAATTGGGTTCAGGATCATGTATAACTTCTTAATTTTTCTCCGTAGTGGGGAGCCCTAGACAGATGTTGGCTATTTGTTGCATGACTGTGCTGCGATACAGAAGGTTTGAAACAAAGCCTTTACGTTATTCACTGCTACTGATATGGAGTATACAAAGTACAATTATTGTATTGTGATGGTTTGACGAAAAATGCGGATTGCAAGGGTTGCCGTCTTATCGCTGACCAGTGGGAGCACCCCACACCTGAATACTCTCACACCATCGCGCCATCGAAGATAAGTGCTGTCAGTCTTATCGAGTTCCTTCCACATTCTCTCCTCTTGCAAAGGCTCATTTTTTTTCATTTTATCTCATTTTTTCCGACTTCCATTTGTTCAGAAGGCAGGAGTAAGCTAACTGAAGCACTACGATGAAAATTTCAGTCTTTGTGCAACTCACTCATCGTATTGCTAGCCAAAACTAACAAGTAATCATTTCTTTTGGTTATTTTGTAGAACTATAAATATCCACCTCCCAACGGTTTGCCGTCTCTTCGTGGCTAGGAGGTGATCCTGAATGTCGAGCTGCGATGTACAGCGGGATGATTCGTCCCACTGCAGGATCTCCTAAGCTGAGAAGGAGTCCGACGTTTCCAGTAGGAATCCCAGCTAAGAGTAAACAAATATTAGGACCCGGATGGTGTAGTGGTGAAGTGCGCTGCTCCCCGGTAAGGACAACAGCGCGTTTTCGTTCCCCACTGCATACACCTGTGGTCCGGAGTTTTGCAAATATCTCAGCACTTCATACGAGTTATATTTCACAACATACCCTGCCATTAAGAAGAAAAAGGCAGTAAATAAAAGAGTTAAGATTGAAAATATTAGGATCCACCACCGTCCTGGTATTAAATTAGTTGCTTGGTGACATATCCCCCTCTGATCCACAAGGGCAGCGACTGCCTGTGGTGGTGACGACCCGGAGCAGGCTTTTGGTAGGGCCTCCAGAGAACCACAGTGGCTAAACCACCAAAAGTCCGAAAAAGTGGAAATTATTCTGGGATCCGCACAACCAGTGAGGACGGGCCAACTAAGTATTCAAGTAAGTAAGTACAAATGTCCACATTTCATAGAGTTAGTGTGACATATTACACGACATTCTTAACCTTTTTTATTTACTACCTACTATAATTTTTAACGGCAGGGTATCATGTGAAATGTAACTAAAATAATGCTGAGATATTGGCAAAACTCCGGACCGCAGGTGTCTACAGTGGGGAACGAACGCGCTATTTTTCTTTCCGGGGAGTAACGCGTTCACCGCCACATCATGCGGGTGCTTCGTTTCGCCTGCCTCTCAGCTAGTTCTATTGATCGGCGCCATCAGCAATCACTCGTCAACAGGACTGATCTAGAGAGCCCAAATCTCACCGTAGACACCTACGGTCCGGAGTTTTGCCAATATCTCAGCATTATCCTAGTTGTATTTAACATATTGCAGGACATCTAGAAAGTCTTAAAACCACTTCCACTTCCGAACTCGAGTTGACAGCTGCACCAAGGCTCTCTGTACCAACACGGAATACATTTTATCGATCGTGAAACGGTGTAGATCAAAAGTTGCCCCGCTTTTCACTGATATTTCTGCAATTGCAGACTGTTCGGGAGATTTCGTTCGCATTCTTGATTTATGTTTTCGGTACTCACGCATTCTTGCTATTTCTGTTAAATCTGGTGAACTGGTTGTCCATAGATCCATCCGGTCACATAATACACATATACATAATGGTGCTGCGATATTTGCAAAACTCCGGACCGCTGGTGTCTACGATGGGGAACGAACGCGCTATTACCCTTTCCGGAGGCTAACGCGGCCACCACCACACCATGCGATTCCTTCGTTTCGCCTTTTTTTCAGCTGTTTTATTGACCAATAGGTGCTATATATTTCACGTAATACCTTGCCATTAAAAAGGAGCTGGCAGGAAATAAAAAGTGACTTTGTGATCGTAGTACAATTTATCCCATTCTAGCAACGAGTGGTTTCGATTTATCGTATCCCACAAAACGTTATTCTCACCTTTTTGCGTAGAAGTCAGTATCATGAATGCGAAAACAAATCAACGAGTGGGTTTGCTCCAGTGGGACATCATGGCGTCTCCGAAGCATCGCTGGGATTTACATCTATCGCTCACCTAACTTTAAAACGTCGAATTTCGTTTCCATTCTTTTGAAAACTTCGACTCTAAGCCGACATAGAATTGAGAGAATGTTTTAGAAAGAACTATAAGTAGGGTTAAGGCCATTGAGCGTAGTCTCTTCTACGGATTTGTGAAGTTCTGAACTCGTTAAATGCTCTAGTGATCAAGAAATTACCGACATTTTCCGAAAAACCAGTTCTGAATGAAAGATTTGGACGCATAGTGTTCATTTTCAGTTCATTGGGCAACTGAACTTTCTTGCCATACTATGTATATTCATTCGATTGCTAATGGAAAGCTGATCAACCTGGGAGAGGCTGAACCAGAACGGCCTCTCTCTAGAGTAATTGATTCATATTGATCGACCGATTGATTTGATCTTGGGACAACTTCACTGATCAGTAGTCTCACTAATCAACGGTTATTTTATCTTAATCACTTTAATGATGGACGTCTATCGTCCGAAGTAAGTAATTCAACAGAAACTGCAAAACAGTTCCAAATGATGACAGTAACGTGTTTTCAGGATGGGCCATAGTATGTCAAACATAATCAACCGTATTACTGATTACTTTCAATGTAATGCGAAGAAAATCCAGTGCTACATTTTCTTTCAGCTCACAATGCTATATTAATTGTCGTCGTTTCTGGGGCACTGTCCGCAATTATCGGACAATAGTCGTGTAATCAGTAGTTGGGGTTGCGTGTATAACCCCTTCCCACCCCAGGCAGTGTGCTTCATGCGTATCGATCGGGCGGAATGTCGAATTTCCTTCTTTTCTCATGGTTTCTTTACTAGTTGTTGATTTCCGACATTGCTGTTTTCCGAAGAACTTCGTTTATAATGCTTCATATTGTCAGTTCAAATTAAGGCAATGGGTGGCTTTAATCTGGAGGTATTTGATGCAAAAGAACCGACACGTTCTATAATAACGCTCGACAATCTGAGTGGTGAAGAAACTGTACTGGCCATTAAGAAACGTATAGCACAGAAAAGTAAGTGTACACTTTTTTGGCTCTTCGTATACTTTGAACTGTTCTAGTGGTTTAAGGTAATCATAGCTAGAAGTATTCTTGGGTGTCGAACAGCATCCTATACAAAGTTTGCTCCTTAGCAGAATCCCTTAGGCTCAGAACAAATTCGGTTTAGTCACCGTCCACGTGCTTAGCCAATGTTAAACTCGCCTTTACTGAAGTAGTGGAAAAGTATTTTAAAATCTCTTCTTGTCTTCGCCTATTCTGACACGTATTTCCGTTTGTGATCGGTTGTTACCAGCACCGCCATTCTCGTGACAAGTTAGTCTCAAAGCGGCAAAACTTATTTTAGAGAGCCGGCGCCTGCCTATGTTGACGATTTCGGGAAACCCTGACAATGCCATCTTAACACTAAGGGATAAAAAAAAGTGTAAAGATGTTGGCGTTGATCAATCGCTGAGGGATGCGTCGTGCATTCGATTTCATTAAGCATCATTTGGAGGTGACTGAATGACCTTTACTGACTCGCGGTGGCTAGTGATGTATCGAGCCAGTGCTGCTCAGAGTACTTCCCAGACAAGTCTGGTACCAATCCACCGACCTCAAGGGGATGAAAGGCTTGGTGAGCCGCGGGCGCGGGATTGATCCCATGTGCGTGTTGCAGGGCGCCTCCGACCACTGCGCCACATATCTTAATCTTAACATTTGCTTGATACTTGACACTTGAACGGCCCGTCCTCACTAGTTGTAAGGACTCCAGCACAATCACCATTTTTCGGAGATTTGCTGGTTAAGCCATTGTGGTTCCCTGGAACCCTGAGGAGAGCCCCTTGTGGATGAGAGGGAGATTTGCCACCATACGGCTTTGATACCATGACGGTTGTGGATCTCAGTATTGGTTTACTCTTAGCTAAGTTTCCTGATGGAAACGCCGGACTCCTCAACTTGGGAGACCTTACCATGGGATGATTTCTCCCTGTACGTCGCTTCCGACACTCAGGAATACCTCCTACTCACGGTGAGGCGGTAAACCGTTGGGAATCTGTGGGGATTATGATAGTGAAAGCAACACGCATCACAATGTTGACACTACATAGAGAAAATCTTGTTCAACCAGCAAATTACTAGTGAAGCAGAAGTTGTGCTGGGCACTAACGGGTCTTTGTGAAGGTGGGTTATCAATGTACTAAAGAAGGCAGGAAGGCAGCTCGTAGCATTTTTTGTCATTAGTGTTTATGGTCCTATTTCCATGCTGTGTGCATTTTTAAATTACAATATGTGCATTTGAAAATAGCGGCATTATTAGTGGTTCAAGGTGTTTCTCTCTCAAAATAAATTTCATCAAGAATTCAGCAGTCCAATGTAACATTAGGGGCTCGTGTAGCGCAGTGGTCGGAGACGCTCTGCAATACACATGGGATCAATGCCAGCTCTCCAAGCCCACCAAGCCCTCTATGCTTCCGGAGTTGGCAGATTGGTACCAGATTTGTCTTGGAGGATAGCAGTACTGGATGGTTACATCGGTGGACCACCGCGAGTCGTTGTAACGGCCAGATATGCATTCAGTCACCTCCAACGATGCTTAATGGAGTCGAATGCATGGCGCATCCCTCAGGGATAGATCGACGCCGAGAGCTTTATACTTTTATCGTAACACGGTGATTGCCACAATCAACATAACTTGAATCTATCCTTCGCGAATATTATTTCTTAATGTTATGTTCTTGCTTCTTCAGAGCTTGCATTAACAGTTGAGCGACAATCGATGCGTGTAGAACCTAAGGGTCAGGCGATTTCTGACGAAAAGCAGATCAAAGAACTTGGTTTAGCTGCTCAGAATGCTCATCTATATGTCCGAGATCTCGGACCACAAATCCCATGGAAAACGGTATTTGTCAATGTTTTGTTTTAGTTGCACGATTTTTCTAAAATGTTTCTGTAGTTGTGTTGTCTTTCAAAGGTCATTCTGACAACAGAGTTGAAACTATCAATATTTTTGAAAGCTTAAAAAGGTTATTAAAAATTTGTGTTGAATTCTGTCCTGCAAGAGCCGTAATGAGGACCAACATCTTTGGCTAGTTTTGCGATACTTTCTTACCAACTATGATCTTATCTACGTATTTGGAAGAGATAAATTCCTATGCCAGCATGTTTTAAGCCCATATTTACAGACGAAATGTAATTTTTTTCTGTTTAGGTCTTTCTGCTGGAGTACGCTGGTCCTTTGTTCATCTATCCATTGTTTTATTTCCGGCCAGAATTCATATATGGAGATGGTAGGCGTGGACGTGTTATTTGAAGAACTGATTCACACAGTTTTCATATTCGAGGCAAAAGTTTAAGGATTTAGGTGGTTCTAAGAAGCCTCATCACTTTGCTGTTACTTACGCCTTCATTTGTTGGTCGATTCATTATGCAAAACGATTATTCGAGACAGAATTTATTCATCGTTTTAGCAATGAAACGATGCCACGCTTCAATCTAATCAAGGTTTCTTTTACAGTGTTTTGTTTTTGAGTTAGTTTTAGTCCCAAAACTTCTTCTTGTCTTTGATCAGTGTCATCTTCTTGTGTATCTGTTTGTTTCTCACTTATCCCTGTTTTAGAACTGTTCCTACTACTGGGGATTTGCTGCTTTTATCGCATATTTTATTAATCATCCTGCCTACACTCCTCCATATTTTGGCAGTTGTCAGGTGTACTTTGGACTAGTGGCATTTGCTATTTCTGAATTTGGTAAGGCTTATAATGTATTTCAACATGTTTTCACGAGCTCTGAACTTTTCTTTTACGAGTAAGTTTTAGGCAGAACATACGTTTCTGAATGTTTCTATAACGGTAAGAGTTTTTTTTTCGACTTTTAAAGGACCTTTATGAATGCTTTATCTGATTGCCTTTGTGAGCTCCTTTGGAAAGGTCTTGTGTAGTTGACATTTAATACCAGCCGAGTACTCTACGTGTTTATCGGACTCTACCGTACCCTGTTTTAGTTCCGTCTTTTTTTTTGTGACCATGATGGATTGATACTTGTACCTATGTGATTCAGCGGTCTTTTCTTGGTCAAAGCCGATGTCGAACCCTTAGTAATCTTTGGTCTGGATTTTATAAACTGAAAAAATTTTAAATATGATATTTAGGAGTTTTATCGGGAATTTTCTGACCACATGCACTAGTATTTCCTTTCTGGAGGTTTTTTTTTTCAATTTTGCTCATTCAAATTTCTGCATAGGGGAGGTGGTAAACGAGCTCAGTGTAAGGAGCTTGTAATGTTGAGGTGTCAAATGTGTGCTTTCATTACCATTAGGCTATTCGAATGTTTATTCTCTTTTCTCCTTTCTTTTTGAAAAGTGCATGACCATGGAAGACGCTTGCCATGGACAGATTTCTAAAAAAACTGTTTTAGTATTCCACTGTGGAATACCTGCTTTTAATTGTACTATTCGGCGTGAAACTTTCACCGATGTATGTTTTTCTAACCTTGAATGTCTTGCAACGAATGAGGTCTTCCTTAAAGTAACACTTCCTCTAACTATTTTTTGAAAGGGCATATGGTTGCAGTAATCTTTCACAGTTTTTAATTGGTTGGTAAGTAGCATTAAGTTGCAGGTGGTGGCATTACTCCGGTATCGTATAACTATTATGAGAAAGTATGAAGATCGGCGTTAGAAGTTTATGGATTTTTGTTCTCCCAATGCGGACCTGGTTCCTTATAGGGCACCGATGATCCCGGGTTTAAATTTTCTCATAGTTGAGCCTCCCGATGAAATTCTACGACTCCGTTGATTGGGTGGCCACTGGAGATTGGCTGCTCTTCACATTTAAACATCGAGGGTATAATCAATATTTCCTTAGATTATTGGACTAATACGGGGTTATAAATTAAGAAGTGACTTTCTTTAAACCTCGATGCGAATAATCAGTAATTTTCCGCATGATTGCGGTGACACGAGGTTGTTATAAAAGACTTTTTCTCGTCTAACATTTCGGTGCCTTCATCATCTTCAGAGCCAAGTTGGTCCGTGTCGATGGTCCACAGCTGGTAATTGCCTCGATATGGATGTTTATAGTCACATAGAGTCCAATCTAGTGGATGGAGCACTGCTTGAATGAGGAGCACTTCACTCAGCAGTGCACTTTTACACAGGACGGATGTTGGTCGATTCCTGCTATCCAGGATGATCTACGTTTTGGCAAGCACTGTTCCTTGTAGCAGTTGGTACTCTATTTGCAGACACATAACTTGGCAGTGTTTCAAAAACGAACTTTTATTAAACCATAGTAACAGCAGTAGTTTTCTGCATGACTGAGTTGACAGGTTGGTACAAAACTTCTATTCGGCTAATGCTTCGGCTCTTGGGCATCTCGAGAGCCATGCAGTTATCCAATTCGATTGCCCGCAACCATTAGTCCTTGCGTTGTGGATCTTCGTAATAGCATCGAGTCGAATTTTCTGGAATGGCGCAACTCTCGAATGAAGTTGTCTCTATCGGCGGGACTCTTCTACACAAAACGGTTTCTGATTTGTCGCCATCCATTTTGATCTATTTTCATTATTTTCATGGTGGCAGTTCATCCCGGATTGCTGATCTGCAACTATCATGTAGAAGAGGCCCCCTTAATGAGAACTTATTCGAGAGTTGTTCCATTCCAGAAGATTCCATTCCATGATACTACGGAGACCCACTTCGTGAGCTTGGACGGACGTGGACAATCAATCCGATTCGTCGCAGCTCTAATGAAGACTAATGCGCCGAAAAGCCGGCTGAGTAAAACTTTTGTAACCACCTCGTCTTAATACCTCAAAAGACCGACTTTCTATAAAACTATAAGTCGATGTATTTATAAGAACGTATAGCTGAAAGGACTTGTACAGTAAATATGGAATGTGAAACCGTCATTTCTTTTCCCATGACTAGTTCTAATCTCGGGATCTGGTCTTGTTTCTTAAATTTCCTTAAATATCAGATTTAAACATTTATGAGGATTCAACATTTTCAAGAATGTTGTCTTAGATTTTAAACGTTTGTGAGAACTTTCACATCGATCTCTATTTCGTAACGACATTTTTTGAGGAAATCTCTCGATCCACATTCTTCTTCGAAATCTTCGTCCACCTGGCACTCGTGAGCGCCGCATACCACGACCAGATGGCAATCCAATGAGCCTGCTCTTCAACTTTGTTTCGTGTCCTAACTACACATATGAAGCCATGTCATGGGTCTCGTTTTCGACTATGGTGCAAAGTCTACCCAGTGAGTTTTTTTTTTTCAAAGTGATTATGTCAGGTTCACATATCTTTGTTTGGTGAGTACAAGTTTCTTTTAAAATCAAGTGTCTAAAGAGTGTTTATTGATTTGCGTCCAGTGTATGAAAACAAAAAGACTATCCAGAAATACTAGAAAGTCAGCCGATTACTAAGAAATCGAGAATTCGTCTTAATAAGGCCAACTGTGTAATTTGGAAAAATCGCTTCACTATCACCTTGTTATCACATAGCTCTGGATGACCGTTTACATTAGAAGTCTGGGGTTCTTTCACCTGGTCGTGTGTATCTCATGAAGAGACCTCCTTATCTTGGTTTATGACTGTTTTTGTTATCGTGTTTTTCGAACCGTAAAGGGTGTTTTTGTCCCGAGTCTATTTGGTGTTACACAGATGTCACCTCTTAGACACTATTTCCTAAGTATAAAGATGTTTTTAAAAAGAACGAACTGAGCGAATCATGTATGTTGAGTTAGAAGACAATACGAAACTAGCGGTGATTAAGACGGAAAGTCTGTTATATGTGTGAACAGTTCCGTGTATTGAGAGGCCATGGTATTTTTGATTCGGTTTTATATGCATTCTGTTTTTGTTTTTTGTCACCGAGACTGGAGGTTCTGTGTTCTCCTGATGCAAGTCTGAAAAATCAAGGCAGTTGTACCACATTCTTTTTTCTTGCTTTGCTGGATTGGATCTTTACTTCTTACATTTCTAGGCAAGTTGAAGTGTTTTGTGTAGGCTATCAGTGGAAATTGGTTAGGAACATTGCTTAAATAGAAGTACATCACTACCTTTAATTATGGCATACATTGCTATCTTGTCCTGGTAGCTTTGTGATGAACCGAATCACGAATTCATTGTAAAATGATAAAAGAATAAAGCTGTCGGCGTTGATCAGTCTTGAGGGTTGCACTATGCATTCGACTTCACTAAGCATTGTTTATAGGTGATTGTCTGACCTTTACAATGACTCCAGCAGGCCTACCGATGTATCGAGTAAGTGCTGCTTTTTTCCCAAACAAATCAGGTACCAGTTTACCGACCCCGGAGCGATGGAAGGTTTGGTGAGCCTTGGGCGCGGGTATTGATCCCACATGTCTTGCATAGCACCTCCGACCACTGCGCTACACGCGCCTTTCTGAGATTATGAGTATTCAATGTAATTTTAACAGGCTGCTTATTGGTGTCTAATTAACCAGCTATCTTGACCAGTAAAAAAATAACGATGAGCCAAATAGTGTGTAAGTCAGGTTGTAACTCGTCACTGACTACACTGTTGTATTTTTTCCGTTTGATGCTAAAGTAAGAAGAAAGAATTCTGGTCATATTTCCAAAACGTGCATCTTGTAATGACTTTCATTTACAGGCCTTTTGTTCACCATTGCCGGTTTCATCCAAATGACAATCTGGGCGAAGAACAAGCATCGTATTTATAAGAAGGAGTTCCCAGACTACCCAAAGGAACGCAAAGCAATCGTACCGTTTCTTATTTGAGGGACAAATTATTTTTCACAACTTGCGTGTGCTCCTTCATCTAGTTAGTATATTTGTCTGTGACGTGAAAAAATTCGTACGGTTCAGCACGCAATTACTAGATATGAATGTGCTTTCTGCTAGTGTCCGTAGCAACGTCTTTTCTTTTCCTTTTTTTCTTTCCAATTTTTGTCCCAGTTTTGCTTTTCAGATGAATTTATATCAGTGTTGTGTGATTTTTACTAAAGTATTTAATAAATATGTCAGCAGTAATTTACTCAACAAGCCAAGAATTTCTGGTAGAAGTGCAGTAGTTATATTTACGTGTTCGATGTGTCATCAAATAGATTTCTTAGGTGTTTTTTGCCACAACCAAATGAAGACAGCAGGAAGAGAGTGGAGTTGGTATTTTTTCACATGACAAATAGCGTCGTCGTGTTTTCGTTCCATTTCATGGAGGGGTTCTTTGCTTCTGAAGCTGGAACAACCGGAAACGTTAAGCTGGAAAAACCTGCTTTAGAATACTGATGTGGTTATTTTAATTTGAGGGTGCTAATATTAGATGGTTACTGGTAAATGTCCTCCCATTGGTTTACTGCCTTATCGTAGTTGAGAGGTGTTCCTGGGTGTCGGGCAGAGGTGTGCAGCGGGTGTTTCATTCCACTAGCATGGCCTCCCAGGTTGAGGAGTCCGGCGTTCCCATCAGGAAGCTCCGCTAAAAATAAGCCAATACGAGGATCCGTCACCGTCTTGGTACCAAACTAGTCGCACGGTGGCAAATCTCCCTCTGCTCCACAATGGCCGGTGATTGCACGTGGTGGCGACGACATTAGGCAGACTTTGGCCAGGCTGGCCTTGGGACTCCAGGGAACCACAACGGCTAAGCCAGCAATACCCCAAAAAAGAAGAAGCTATGCTCGTCCCTGCACAATTGAAGATGGGCCATCAAGTATCCAAGTATTAGTAAATGTAACCGTTATTGGATACTTGGATACTTGGATGGTCCGTCTTCACGAGCTGTGCGGACGCCAGCACATATGCCAAGCGTTCCTTTCTTTCGCAATCGTAGTCCATGGTGGTGGTCTTGTTCGAGCATGGTAGCGCTTGCGAGTCTCGTACCGTGATCTGTAAAACAATGGCCCATCTATGTTTTGATATCGATGTATATTCTCCTGGATCTCGAATATATGACAGATTTCGAAGGTCAGAGCTTCGCATTCCGGCTACGTATTGAGAGTGGCGGTTATATTTCAGAAGACATCGCTCAAGCGTTCTGTGAGTAGTTCGAAGCATTCTAGACGTAGTTGAAGTATCAACTCACGTCTCTACAGCATAACAGAGCGCTGGGAGGACCGTAGAATCAAAGATGAGCGCGGATTTTCGGGTCCTTCAGTTGGCCGGTGGCTTCTTTGAGAAGCCCGAATGCGGTACAAGTTGCTCTCCTTCTATCTAGTTCCTCCTTCATGTTGTTTTCTATGTTCATTGGTCGCCCAAGGTAAACGTACGAGGTGGTCTCTGCAACGAGAGAGCCATCCAATTCAATTTTTTCGCCTTCGCACCATGGTTTTTTCATGAACTAGGTCTTCTTTCGATTTATGCGAAGTCCGATCTTTTTCACCGCTTCGTCGAACTCACTGACCTCTGCTTCGTTAGTACTTCTTGAGAAGATGGCAATGTCGTCGGCAAGACGAAGGTTTGATAGGAATTTTCCATCAATACGTATGACTTTTTCATCCCAATCGAGTGACTTGATTATCTAAAAGACAGAGTCCTCATGTAGGACGGGTCCACTCCTTTGTCGACGAGCGCTGATAGGATTGCATTCGTTTCGACACTGTCAAGCGCTTTCTCATAGTCGACAAAGGTTAGGACTAGAGCCAATTGGTATTACCGATAAACTTCGATAGCCCAGGACACGGCTTTGATGTGGTCCATGTAGCAGAATCCTTTTCGAAATCCTGCTTGCTCGACTGGTTGCGCGTCATCCAATGTCCTTGATATGCACAAGAGGATAATCTTCGTGAAGAGCTTGTAGAATACACTTAACAAGCATATGGGACGATAGTTACTAAGATCCCTCCGGTCTCCTTTCTTGGGCAGGACCATGCGCGACGTCCTCCACTGGTCTGGGATTTTTTACTTTTGAAGGTAGCCCGTCATATGATCTGCGAGAAGTACATGTAAATTGTGGTGTCCAGCTCTAAGGAAATCGACAGTGATATAATCGGGTTCTGGAGCTGTGCCTCTTTTCATGCTTTTTTATCGCAACTCGAACCTCCGATGGAGGAATTCCAGGTGGTTCTTCTCCAGCGAGGATATTAGTGCCCGGGACGGGGATTGTGAAACGGAAAATGTTGGTGTAGAACGTTTCCGCTACTAACTCCATATCATGGTGGGAAGTTTTGACAACCCCATTTTCGTTGCTGAGATATTTGCAAAACTCTGGACCGCAGGCGTCTATGGTGGGGAACGAACGCGCTATTGTCCTTCCCGGGGAGTAGCGCGTTCACCACCACACCATGCGGGTCCTTTGTTTCGCCTGTCTCTCAGCTATTTCAATCCCGCTGACGGGTGATTGCTGTGGCAAAGATCGATAGAAATAGCTGAGAGACGTGCGAAACAGAGGACCCGCATGGTGTGGTGGTGAACGCGTTACTCCCCGGAAAGGATAATAGCGCGTTCGTTCCCCACCATAGACACCTGCGGTCCAGAGTTTTGCAAATATCTCAGCAACGTTGTGGTTGTATTTCGCTTAGTACCCTGCCGCCAAATTATAGTAGGCAGAAAATAAAAAGGTATAACATTGTGATCCCATTTTCGTTCATCAGGGGTGACAGCGGAACATTATAATCACATAAGTCCCGACGGCATTTTTTCAGACTGCTTCTTTTCTCTGCTGCTTCCAGTGTTTTCTTCTGCTTATACCGTTGTAGTTCTTCCTGCAAAGCTCTTCTGCAGTTGGCATTTATTATTAGCCATGTTAAACGTGTTGCAGTAGGATCAAGCTTCAGTTTCCTTCTCTTTTCGAGCAAGTCCTTAGTAGTGATGGAGATGCGATCCGATCTTCTTGCTTAAGGAACTGAGGCGAATTCGGCACAGCTCTTCAGTCCTTCGACAAGCAGCTCGTAGTCATCGGTCGGTTCTTTTTTAATCTGCCAGTCACGTTTGGACAGGACTTAGTTTAGAATGTTTTCGTCGTATACGGCTAAACTTTTTCCTCGTGGTCGAAGAAAAGAGTTCTTTTCCAGCCTGCAGCTGAATCGAATCTTCGCGCGAAGAAGGTGGTGATCGGAACCAGTACAGAATGACGGGACTATCGATGCATTAAGTAAGCACCATCTTCTCTTTGAGAATATGGTCGGTCTCCGCATGAGTCATGCCGTTGGGAGACTCCCATGTCCAGCGGCGGCTTTACTTTTTCTGGAAAACGAGTTTCCATGGAAGAGACATGCTGCTGACAGGAGTCCTACGAGACGGTTCCCATTCTCATTTCTTTCTACTGGTCCAAAATTTTCGATCCTGTATTCGCTCTCGTTAGCCCTTCCTATTCTGGCGTTGAAGTCTCCAACAACAAATTAATAATATGCTCTATCATTGAGGGTGGCTTCCTCCAACTGATAGTAGAACGCATTTAATTCGTACTCATCAGCTGCATCGGTCGGTGAGTAGCAATTCATGATAGTAATCTTCTTATGATGCGACAGTTGAAGATAGAGGACAGTTATGCGAGGTAAAGGATCACGTATGAGTCGACGAGATGGACAATGGACGGGTGGACGACAAAGCCTACGCCACCGACATTTCGGGATGAGACCTTTTCTCCACGGATCACAAGGGTCCCGTTGTTTAATTGGCGTATGTCAGTCTTCTTGATTTTTGTTTCCTGTAATGCGATCACATGAAATTTAATGCGATCTGCGGCTACAAGAAGGGCGTGAAGATCGGTGTCTGTGGAGAGTGTTCTGTCCTTATAGGTGCATAGTGAGAAACAATCTCCATGGTGTGTCGTGTGCGTGTTCTTCAGATCCGGTTCCAATGACGTCCTGCGTAACCCGAGATTTTCTGGCCTCTTACGGGTCGTCTCACTGCCTGACGTCATAGACGGGAGCACCCAGTGTGCGGGGTACTGAGGGTGGCCTATTGCTGGTCGTACAACTTGGTCCTCTCTGGAGTCCTGATGTAACCTTGCAAGGAAGTATCCAGGTCTTCACCACGATGTGGATCAGAGGGAGGTGTATTTTCGGCGACGAATCCTTCCCTCGGTCTTGCTACTAGTTCATTCGGAGAGATATTAAAACCGAAATTAGAAACGAAAGTAGGAATGTAAAAGTAACCGACTGCTCAAGGACGATGTAGAAGCGGAATCCCGAATGTAACCGGTATAAGTTCAAATTCGTATTTTAGAATGCCTGAACTCCAAGCGCTGTTATTGTGCGGTGGATCGGGTAGTCGTATGACTGAGTTATGCAACAGAATGCTGAAATGTCTTCTACCGATTGCAAATGTACCGATGTTTTGGTACCCATTGAACACACTCGTAAATTCTGGAGTGAAAGGTACTACCATGTAAGAGGTCTTAGTTATTATTTCTCCAGTTGGTTTGTGTGGTGCAGAAAATTCTGCACTAATGAAATATTGACCTCAGTAGTTAACAGCGAGGAGTAAAATAATAAACTCAGATCATTCAAACATTAACGAATGTAATCACTTTTTCATTTACTGCCTATTTTTTTTTCATGTCAAGGTATGATGTGAAATACAACTACGGTGATGATATCGCCTGTAGAACACGGCTTAGAGAAAGGAGAAACGAAGAACGCGCATGGTGTGGTGGTGAATACGTTAGCCGCTAGAGAGGATAATCACGAGGTTCCGCAGACATCTGTAGCCTGGAATTTCGCAAATATCTCAGTATCGTTGTGGTCGTACTAGCAACTATAGTCTAGTTATGTCCTGTGGCTCCTGATCATATTCTCGTTATTAGTGGACATCCATGTAATTTTCACATGAGAACTTCCGTTTAGAAATCTGAAGCTATTCTTTCACGAAATATCCTACTTTCGATTTATGGTTTGTTCTTGATGACTAGAAAGGATTTCTCAGTGTTTTGTCAACAAACTTCATGAACTTGTTCTAACCGACTTCACCTTTAATTCAACGTAGAGATTACACTTACGTGAAAGTTTCATGCTCCGTCTTCAGTCTAGTGGATTTCGTAGAAATTTATAATGATAAAAGGATAAAGTTCTTGGGGTTGATCAATCCCTGAGGGATGCGCCATGTATTTGACTTCATTAAGCATCGTTGGAGGTAACTGAGTGCATATCTGGGGCTTTACAATGACTTATGGTGGCCTACCAATGTACAGACCCAGTGCTGCTATCCTCCCAGACAAATCTGGTACCAATTTGCCGAGCCCGGAGGTATGGAGGGCTTGGTGAGCATGGGCGTAGGGATCGATCCCTTGTGTATTATAGGGTGCCTGCGACCACTGCACTACAAGCGCCCTGGAAGTTAATATTATTACGCAGTTATTCTTGCAGTTTTGTTTACGAAAGGTCTTTATACTTTTATATATATACTTTATATACTATATATTTATACTTTTTTACAACAAACTGGGTGCTCTGCGACTTTGTACATTGGGCTTCAATATTCTATATAGCATGGTGTTCTCTTCAGGTTGGAACGTGGTGTAATTTCCCACGAATTGTTACATGCCGTATATTATGGCAAAATTCTGCGTAACTTCTGGAGCACGTAAGTGTAACATATTACGGTTCGCAGTAATGACTAGAACTTTAACTAGTGGTAAGAAATTGATAATAAAAGCCACAGAACGAAGTTACAGTAATGTAACTCGAAGCAGCCACATGGGTGATGGGGTGCGCGTAGCGCAGTGGTCGGAGACGCCTTGCAGTGCACATGGGGTCGATCCTTGTGCCCTAGGCTTAGAGCTCTCTATCCCTCCAGGGTCGGCAAATCGGCACCAGACTTTTCTGGGAGGATACCAGTGCTGGCTCGATATCGATACAGCCGTAATGCACTGCAAGTTATTGTAATGGCCAGATATGCATTTAATCACCTTCAAAGATCCTTGATGAAGCCGATTGCATGGTGCATCCTGAGGGATTGATCAATGCGGAGAGCTTTACCCTTTTACAGTAATACAATTATGGTGGTTGTTCTAATTGTCACTGTGGTCTTCATTTTAACTCTTATAGACATCAAACTGTTCGTTCGCGAAGACGGGGAGTCAGAGGTGTCTCGTCTGTTGGCGACTTCTCCGTTCTCATATCCTTCAGCTACTATTGAGGTGATTTCGGTCTCTCGAGAGAACGAAGAGTGGGGAACGGCTGACTTACTACGACACTATGCGTCAAGGATAACGGTAGGTGTGAATAATTTAAAATCCGCTGTTTCCTTGAGTTAGCTAGCTTGGTAGGTTAAAGAGTAAGGAGAGGAGTGAATAATGGCCATTAACCGCTAATATCGAATGATTTGGAAAGTGCCCTGCATGTATGCTGATTCTGCTTTTGTTTATAATATTTAGTTGTAATCATCTTAATTTCTTTTTTACCTTGTCTTATCTTATTCTTTTTAACAACTTTTAGAAATGGTTTTTAGACAAGTAGTCAGTTGAAACTTCTTATGATCACTTGAATTCAAGGAAAAACAGTACCATTTATCGATGTTTTTTCTTTGTTGGCAAACGACTAATGCGTACTGCGCACTAGAACTGCTTAGTAGATTCAGCATTCTCAAATGACACTTATGTTATACACCTTATTTCGACTTCTGTTGGTCTTCGAGTATTCATAGAGGTTTCTCCGAGTTCTAGTATAGAGAGTGAATTGTTCACAGATATCTTCTTGTGGCACTCTGAAACGCACATGATGCTCACTGGTTTGATGTGAACGCGAACCGTCTCGTGTATCGCCCAAATTAGTTGCTAGTTTGTTGACTTTCGACTGAAGCGGCGTGCTGAGTAGGTGTGTCAAAGCAACATCAGTTGTAATTGTTGGGCTTGCGCGAGCATGATAAGCATTCTTTATGCGGCTAACGTTTCGACATCCTTGTCTTCATAAATATTTATCCATGTATTCTAATAGTTTAGAGCATTTAATGCTTTATTTTCCTCATATAGTGAGAACATGTGTGAGAATCCTCATTAATATTCAGCGATATGGGAGTTCTTGTTCATGCAATTGGACATTTTGTACCAAACAATTTTCAACACGCATTCATATTACTTCGTGTATGCTGCCTGGCTTACTTGGGAGCTTAGACTGCCCACCATCATCCAATGTATGGGCTGTAGCACAATCTCGTTATAACTGGTATGATTGGTATTTTGTTGTTGACACTGGTTATTTTTAGTTTTTGTTTTTGCTAGAATCCTGAGATAACCAAGATGTGAGAGCGTCCTGATGTTGTTACAGCAGATGTAAACCGTTGTGGATCTAATGGAGGTTTCCTTTCACGCGACTAACTTCAAGGATGGCGGGAACCTATTCGTTTACTTATAGCTGGTTTTCACGATGTAGGTCAAAGAGCATCATAGCATTGCGGACCTTCTAGTGACAGAGCTCCCTCTGTAGATGGAAGTTTTACATGATGTGTATAAATTAGCTAATTTTAAAAAGACTAAAATTTAGGGATCAAACAGTTATCGGTGTAATTTTAGCATGATTTCATTGTGATGTCCTGTGATTTCATTTCGGACTGTCGACTGCAGCCTATGGTGGATCAGTTTCGGGCTCACAGTGTAAGTCACTGGATTTTGTGCGTTTACCTCCATATATTTTCATTAGAATTCAAATTCTACTGTTCGACCTTCCCACAGAGCTGTTATTTATTTCATTCAATTCACATTCCCATAGTGTTCTTCTCGTAACAACTTGTCTATTCCTAAATGACCTCTTCAAATATCCCAAACCACTATTAAGAACAAATGTATTGGCTAGTTCGTGTTTAAATTATGCTTCTCATCCTTTAGTCTGCCACTCGGGACCTTTAGTACATGGAACAGATTTTGGGCAAATAATTTGTAGACCACAAGATTGCTGAGATATTTGCAAAACTCCGGAGCACAGGTATCTGCGGTGGGGAACGAACGTGTATTGTCCTTTCCGGGGAGTAACGCGTTTACCACCATACCATGCGTGTCCTTCGTTTCGCCTGCCGCTCAGCTAGTTCGATCGATCAGTGCCGTCAGCAATCACCGTCAACGGGATTGATCTGGGGAGCCCACATCGGCATTGAACCCACTTAAGCTGAGGATGTAGTTAAATTCACAATGTTCACTTTTTATTTTCTGCCTTCTATAATTTTATAATAACGCGTTCGTTCCCCACCACATACACCTGCGGTCCGGAGTTTTGCAAATATTTCAGCAATCTTGTGGTTATATTTCGCTTAATACTCTGCCATAAAAATTACAGAAGGCAGAAAATAAAAAGTGAACAGTGTGAATTTATAAATCATCTATTTTGCTTTGCATGACCCGACATCACATGTACTGTGCGGCACCCCGTACTTCTTGCATTCGTTTCGTTTTCCTGGCATTCATCGTCCACGGTGGTCTTCTTACATCTCCCTTATCGTTTCGGCTAATGCTTGGGAATTTCATCTTCTTTTTATGATTGTCGAAGAATACTGGTTAAGTTAAGGGCGCGTGTGGCGAAGTGGTTGGAGACGCCAATGCAACACACACGTGGAATCGATTCCCATTCCCATAGCCCACTAAGCCCTCCACCCTCCGGGGTCGGCAAATTCGTACCAGACTTGTCTACGAGTGTAGCAGGACTGGATGGATACATTGGTAGGCCACCGCAAGTCATTGTAACGGCCAGGTATGCATTCAGTCACCTCCAACAATCCTTAATGAGGTCGAATGTATGGCGTATCTCTCAGAAGTAGATTAATGCGGAGAGCTTTATCCTTTTTAAGGATGTAAGGCGACAGTTGTAGGTAAAGCGATTACATAAAACATTAGTTGACAATAGTGTACGCTGAGCACTGCGCAAAGCCGTATTAACAAATCCACAGAAAGATTCATTATATCTTAAATCGCTCTTTACACCCTATGACACCAGTGTTTTGTGGTCTTTTTCTTCTGTAGAATATAGCTCCCTCGTCTTTTTAAACCGCACTCTTGCTCAGCTGAAAGTTTTGTGTTGGAGGTCCTTCGCTGGTCGTTATCCCTAAACATTGTAACCGTTCCGCTAAGTTTGCCGCAGCATGCCAACCAAATTCCTGCCATGTTAGGTCGAATAGAAGCAAAAACATTTTTCCATTCATTGACATGAACAGATATTTAGTACATGAACTATTTAAACATCTTACTTCACTACCATCCACTTTAGGCAAACTAGAAGTCGCTCAGCAAGAATTGTAGACCTGATATACACAACTGAAAAACCCTGATAAATAACTAATGAATCTGGTACATTACATCTCACCCAACGAATTTCGCAGTCGGTGGTGGTTGTTTTAATTGTTACCTTCATTTTCATCGAAACTTATAAATATCAGACTGTTGTTTAGAATACAGTGAACACGATTTGAGTCATTGGTAGGCTATTATTTTGTAACTGCCGTTCTATTTTCATTCTGGTAATTGAAATAGTATCAATGAATCTATGTGTATGATGTGGGTAAGTCATTTATGGAGATTCTATTCAGTGAGATGCATATGGCCCTGGTTCGGCACCACTACAACTGAACTAAACTTTCCATGCCTCCTGATTCGGGAAAGTGGTGCCAGATTTGTCCGATTAGGTTCCTCCGATTCACAAAAGCTCGTGGTGAGGATTTAGGAACTCACTAGCGCAGTTATCTCAGGATTCCAAGTGGGAATTTGTCGATCAGCACTCGGTGACATTGATAGAGAAGACGAAAATCCTTGTGGGAAGACCTTTGTGGATGATGGTTGCGAGAAAAGGAACTGAATGAAGGAAGCTTTGTAACCCACGCAGTAGATGTTACCGGTTCGTGTAAAAAAAGTATAAAGGTGTATTATCAATTCTTTGTCGGACATCTGACCACAAGTGTGAACTTCCAGGAAACGCGGCTCACCCAAATCCAATTGATCCGAAAGCTTTATTTGCAAATCAAACACAATAATTTCACTAAATTGTTACCTTCAGTAATACTGATAGCCGCAGTAACCTTATATTTGACAAATCTTTTTAACTAAAATTAAATCACATTCCTAGTATTTTCTTCACTGAACGAGAAAACTTTTTCAACGACCTTGCATCAGGGTAAAACTGGGAACGTGAACACTTTTTATAGGCTTACTAATACATTAGAATTAGTCTAATTTCAGGCCACACTGTTATGTTTATTAAGTGATATGTGTATCACAGGACCCGTTCCTGGACCAAAAGTAAGAAGAAGCAAAGGTAAAATTGCTTGGTTCGTGCAATATTTCTTCCCTTTCTTTATGTTTCTTTTGCCTACAAACGTTAGTCTTAGACGAAAAGTGGAGGCTGAACCGTGGATTAGATGAAATTGCTTCGAAAATGGATGTTCTGATCTTACTCTTTATTGAGCATCTAGATTTGAAAGGAAAAGTTGAAATATTGAAAGAAGTTGCATCCTACAACTTCTCTAGCGCGTTTCCTTCGGCGAGTTATGTATATCCTTGCGATATCAGGTCGAGACTTTATCGCGCTTGAGGAGTCAACGAGCAGAATCGTTTACATGACTAACGAAGAGGACTTCGATCAGCCAGTGAACGCTGACTCGTGGTTGAATAAGTTAGTTTTGTTGTCGAAAGTTTTACTGCTTTCCTTCTTCCATTCTGTTTTCCACTGATAGGAAGACTGCAGCGAATCCTGTACGTAATGAATAGGGCGCTTGCAGAGCAGTGGTCGAAGGCGACATGCAATACACATGAGATCGATCCACGCACCCGAAGCTCACCAACCCTTCCATCCCTCCAGGGTCGGAAAATTGGTGCCAGACTTCTCTGGGAGAATAGCAACACTGTCTAAATACATCAGAAGGCCACCGAAAGTCGTTGTAAAGGCCAAATATGAATTCAGTCACTTTCAGAGATGCTTGTGAAGTCGAATGCATAGCGCATCCTTCAGGGATTAATGAACGCCGAGCGCTTTATCCTTTACTCCTTTATGAAATTTATATATTAAAACAATATTACTTGGCCTGTTCTGTCCCATTAACCATATACAGCTCCCTATTCCTAGCGTTTCCAAAGACGTTCGTGGTTTTTCATACCAGATTGCAAAGTAACGTTTGGATTTGATAGAAGAAATTTTGGAGATCACTTTTCTTCTCTAGGTTTTCAAGCGTTACATTGACAGCTAACTATGTCGACTGCCACGTATACTTCATGAGCCACGCTTGTCTCGGTACACTTATAGAACAAAAGTATGTTCCTTGTCAATTATAAAACTGCGGTTGGAAAAGCTTTTACTTCAATTTTTTGCGTTCCAGGACACTTAGATATTGCTTACTCGTCAATCCTTAACTTACTAATTTGACTTTTTATAATTTTCTTTCAGTTTTAAATGTTTTTTTGATAAGTTTAGTTCTTAAACATACGTATAGATGTAAATTTCAGAAACTTCTCATCATTAAAAGCAGATCTCATCCCGCATCTATTATCCAAGCAATGTTCTTGTACGTAAAATATATTACCTATTACCATAAAAATCATTTTCACATGAAAAATTCCGATAGAGGTCGCTTTGTAATCTATGTATTATGTGTGTGTGTTAGTTTCCCCACGAATTTCGCTTTATAGTTATTTGTATCAGATCAATTCCTTCCAACGGTTTACTGCCCCATCGTGGTGGCTGGGTGGGAGGTCTTCCTGGGTGTCGGGCTGCGATGTACAGCGGGCAGATTCATCGCCCAGTATGGTCTCCCAAGCTCAGAAAGAATCCGACGTTTCCATTAGGAAGCCCAGCTAAGAGTAAACCAATACCAGGATCCACCGCCGTCCTGGTATCAGACTGGTGGAAAATCTCTCTCTGATCCACAAGAGCGGCCACTGCCTGTGTTGGTGACGACCTGGGGCAGACTTTGGCCTGTCTAACCTCGAAACTCTAGGGTTTTGTAGTCGCTAAGCCAGCAAAACTCCGAAAAAATGGAGATTGTGTTGGGATCTAAGCGACTATTGAAGACGGGTCATTCAAGTATCCAAGTAAGTATCTACTTACATCAGGTCAATTGCTTAGTTGGCGAGCTGAAACGTGGATTTTTCTATGTATGGACTTACATGAATCTCTATGGAACTGATAAACAAAATGGAAATTTATTCCTTTCGGTTCATCTGCTTGTTGCTTGTTTGGGAATTTTAAAACCTAACCGTATCGGTTAGTAAATCCTTAGCTATTTAACATAGTTGAAGCTATCGTTTAAAAAAACCGGTCCTTTTTTACAATAAAAGTGTTGTTGTGCAATTCGTTCTAGAAAAGAAGTGTTTTATGTCTATCTTTAGGAAAGAGTTACTGTTATTTTATATCGTATGTTCATTATAGTGTCTTCTGGAGATGATGAAATGCCTAAATGTATGGCGTATTTACTGTCGCGTGGCAACGCAACCATTGCAGCACGTGTGAATAATCTGGGAGCCTACTTAGAGACCAATAAATCGGTACATGGTTTCATTCTCAAAGAAAGCATGGGAAATGTTAAAGGTGTAAGGAGTTCGAGAATCCACGTTATACCCACCGTTGACGTGCTCACGTATTGCCCTGAAACGTGGTTATACTAAAATTTCTACTGCGTTACTAAAGTGAACCGTATGTTATCAGTGTTTTTCTCCAAAATTAGTTCTCTACTGCTGAACTGCTTTGCACATTGCTCGAGTACGTTCTCAAACACCTCGTAGTAAAGGTGAAGAGTACGAGCGCTGCAGGAAGCGCAACATGAATCGAAAAGAATGATTAAAAATTCGAACCACCATGCTGACCACTGTATGGCACGCCCTCCTCATTGACATGGCAGCGACTACCGATATGATTACATTCGCGTTTGGGTCGAATGCCGCTAACGAACACGGCAGTAGGGTTTTGGTTCAAGCACTTAGCTTTGGCAATACCAGCCGTGAAGATTTGCTTCGATCTCGAACGCAGGTATCGTCTGAAAAAGATTTTTCGCAGCAAATTCGAATTAGACCGAGTGACGAGCAGGAGCGAATATAAGCACTTGTTTTTGTTTAAATCACTATTGAATCAGATGGTCAATACTAACTGCTCTACAGTGCAATTACGCAAGCCTACTGCTGCAATGAAGGAAAAGCGATCGAAGTAAACGTCTGGTTTTTTCATAACAACGCTTCAACTCACGCTGCAAAGTTTATTCCTAGACAATTGAAGAAGTTCGTATGGACTACTGCATCAAACAATTCACTGTACAATTGGACCACAGCGCCATTAAATTGTTAACGGCAAGAGACGAAGTCCGATACAGTAGCCGTAGGAACACCATTTTTAACTTCCTTAGGTCGTTACCGTAAGTTTTTTAGGGGGAACGAAGTTTAGAGCAAATTTGAAAACTGGAATGCTATGCTTTATAATGTTTCTGAAGATATCGTTTTCTGAAGTCGTGTTCTTAGCGAATGCTACCAAAAATAAATTTGTCAGAGTCGTAAAGGAGTGGTATTCAAGACCAATATTATGTTTTTCCCGGAGAAAGGAGCGCTTCTAACAACTAATTTTTGATTCTGTTTGTGAACAGTGACCACATTTCCGCTTATAATAAGTAGATTTCTGTATTCTCTTTTATTAAAATGGGATTCCTGCTTTCTTTTTCTCAAATATGGGAGACGAATAAATGTGAAAGAAGAAGAACACACTGAGAAGAAAGTAAAGAATTGAAGTAGAAAGACTGCCAATTGGGCACTGGACCATTTGAAGCTTCTGCATTTATCAGAATTTCTTGCTCATCGGCCTGGATGTTTCTCCTTTCAACGCTTGATATTTAGGTTCTGAAAAGTTTGCCACGATTTTCTTCTTTACTTTATACTGGACGAGTTTTCGATGGGCGTTCGACTGGTATCCACGCCAACGAAAGCTTAGTGGCTGAAGATTCGGAGGTATTTTTGGTATCCAATCCATTTTTTCTGTAGCATAGTAGCATAGTAATATGCTAATAGCTGAAGCACATTGTTTTGAAAGATGATGGCTGAACTAAAAGATATGGCTTTCAAGTGCTGATACGTTCCTATAGAGGTCTCGATTTTTAAAACTTATGTCAGAAACGGAGGGCATGTGTAGCTCAATGGTCGGAGGCACCTAGTTATACACATAGGATCGATCTCTGCACACCAGGCTCACCAAGCCTTCCATCCCTCCGGAGTGGACAAATTGGTACAACACTTGTTTGAGAGGATAGCAGCACTGGTTCGATATATCCGTAGGCGACGGCGAGTCATTGGAAAGGCCTGATATGCATTCACTCACCTCCAATGATGTTTGATGAAGTCGAATTCATAGGGCATCTCTCAGGGATTGATCAACGCTGAGAGCTTTATGACAGGCGGAATAAAGATACTCATAGTTGTTACGGTTCCGCGGTGTTAATTAGCCATTTACAAATGTGTTCTCCCAGGTACATTGCAGCTTACTTTAAATATAAGCAATTTAAGGTAACCATTTTCTAATAGACACGTTTTTGACCATTTATAAAGACATATATCGCCCCATTACTCACAGCTGCCAAGTGTATCAGACTCGGAAAAGTCTAAGAAGAGAACGAAATTTGCGCAAATTGATCAGCCATTAATCCGAAACACTATAAAAGTGCAGGAGTAGACTCTAACATTTGAGAGGTTGTTACGAGGGCTTTTTTTTTTGGGTAAAATTGCCCATTTTCATCACACAACATACAAGAGCTTCGAAAAAGTCCTTTTCAATGAAACCTTTTTTTTTCGGAGGTTAAAGTAGATTATCACATGTGAGTAATTCGAAAGTACAAAAAGACGTGGATGCTATTATGTTTTGTATCCTATTGGATCCTAGCCTTACAGTTGAATTTTTTCTTTTAAAATTCCTTAGCTAATAAAAGGTCCCAAAAGTTTATGCAGGTTTATCAGAATTTCTTGTCGGAACCCACATGAGAGCAATCACACGCTTATATTTGTTTGAGTCCTTGTACCCTATACTAAATTCTAGGTGGGAGAACGAGTTCTAATCAAGAAAAGTGTTATCGCTTCACGATGTTCAGTGGGAGAGAAAGCGAACATACAAGGTAGTCTCCTGATGGAGGGATCAACGATCGGGAGAGGGTAAGTTCACCTATTTTTTTTCTAAGCCTTCAAACGATCGTCGAGTTATCGCAGCGAAGGAAATGCGACTCATGTGCCCCCAAACTTCTTAATAAGCGCAGACTCTGGCGTCGTTATTAATAGTGCTTATTAGACGCGAAGAAATTTTTTGGTTTCTAAAATGGTAGAAACGTCGCAAAAACGTTTATTGTGATAAGTTGTCTCGTAAACTCTGTCGGTTTTTTCCTGCACTGGATACTTACGTCTTTCTAGAACCAAATGAAACTAACAGAAGAGCTTTGGAATATTGTTTATAAATGTAGTATTTACATGTTAACATTGTTTACCACTTGTGTTAAGGGCACATATCGCATTTGCAGCCTTATACTATATACGTGGGCGTAATATTAGACAGCGTTAAACGCTGAAATGGTGGAGTCAAATGTAGAAGACGAGTTCCCCAGTGGTAGTGTCGACTATCACGAGCACGGTGCCTGTAACCAAGTTATCCAGGGCTCCAAGCAGAATTAATTAGACCGGAACTCAACGACGTTATGAGGAAAGGAAAATCCTCAAGGAGCAGTCGAACCCCACCTAAAAGGAGCA